TTAAATTATAGTTTGGATTATAATCTAAAATTTCCTTCTAATCAAATTAAATTTATTACTTTAAAAATAAATAAAGTCATGTATGTTAATATGTGTCTCAAATTTCGGCAAAGATTTTTAAAGTGTATCTTTGTTCCAAATTTCACTCAGTATCATAAAAAAGACTTTGATCTATTATTATTAAAAAAATTAAAAATATATTTAGTAATCTATTTGTTTCAATTTGAAAATATAATAATGATTATTTTTTAAAATCATATTAAAAATACCTCATAATTAATTATATATGCCTAAAAAGAAGAAATAACTAATAAATACAATTTGAATTGATAAAAATTGAGAATTTTATGTGGATGAGTTTTAGAACTACAAATGGAATTTCAATGAAGTAAACAAATTTTATATAGTAATGCAAATATGATAATAGTAAGTGTATATGGAATGTAGAAAAAAATATTATTAAGATATATATATATATATATATATATATATATATATATATATCAAAAAATATATAAAGAGATGCTATCAACAAATAATAAAGAGATTCCAAAAATAATAAAATAAAATTTAAAAAATAAGTTATCTTCTAATAACTATTATAATTCTTATTGAAATTTGATTTTTTAAGATAGAGAATTAATAACGAACATATTCATCCTAAAAACTATTAAATCTGTAAGTCCTTCAAAGATTTATGAAATTGTTACAATCTTCTTATTGTAAAAGTTTAGAGGAAGATCTTCAAAAAAGATGTATTTTTAAACTAATAGATAGTGAGATACAACTTATTTAGTAGTATATGATTAGAAGAGACTTATAATGCATTGAATATCTTTAGATGTTAATTCTATTGCTATTTTTTTTTTAAATATTATAATAAAAAGTAATCTTAAATACTCCAACAACAATCATATAATAAGGTAGATTATATTGTATATATGTGGAGCATCATATCTGCTTCAAAAAACATATAAATTATTTTTACATATAGCTTAAATAAGAATTTAAGAAATATTTTATTTGATAAATCTTAGAATTTATGAATTAGTAATACAACTCAAAATTTTAAGTATTTCTTGTGGAAGTTTTCTCAAAAAAAAAAAGAAAAAAAATGAAGAAGAAACAAAAACCAGAATTATCTAAAATTCTTAAATATATAGAAGCAAGTAGAATTAAGTTTAATATATCTTCTCCATTAGATACTAAAGAAGCTTCTTAAGAATAGACAAGATCCTCAGATTTCATTAGAATTGCCATGTAGCTAAAATAAAATTCTTCTAAAAGATTTTTCTATCAAAAGACTATAAAAAATATATATTTAAATTGCAATTATTGTGATTTAAAAAAATCTATATAATTATCTTATTATTTGTTATAAGTATATATAATTTCATACCATGGGTGGCAACAATAATATATACTTACATCATGCATACGTGATACATACATATATAAGTAATCTAGATGTATAGATGTATAAATACACATGTGAATGTGAAGTTTATATGCTAGGATTAAATTTTTGAAGGTTGAAAAGTACATAGGAATTTGAAAGGATGTTGAGAATCCTTCAAATTATGTCCAAATCAAGTATTTAGTCTCTTGGTGAAGAGTGGCTAGAGGTGAGATAGACTATGGTGTAAAATTATATATTTTAGATTGGCAATATATTCAGAGCGAATAAACATGTTGAAATTTTAATAAATTTCAATCAAATCATTGTTCAATAGGTCAATTTGCTAATGTATATATATATATATATATGTGTGTGTATTAAGAATATTCTCTCTTTTTGATATTTTCATTCTATCTTAGCAATATATAAATATATTTAATTTTAATGATTTTTTCTAAATTCGTATCATTTAAATATAAATAGATTATATTAAGCTATATATTATATATATATATATATATATATATATATTAAATATATTATATTTTAAAATTATAAGATATAGATGTATTTCAGAAAATATAATATAGTTATACGGAATTTTTGCATTTCAAATTTTATAACATACATTAATATCAAGATCTTTTATTTTAATTTTTTAATTCACTTGATTTTCTTTAAAAAATAAATCATTAATTTTTAGATACTCTAATTCATATTTAGTTATATTATGTATTTAAAAGTATTTTTTTATTGATTTTGCGTTTATATTTATTAAGCAATATTATAAATTGACTTTTATTTATTATTTTTATATTTTTATTTAATTTAATTTTATATTTCTTAATTCAAATTTTTATAACCATATATAATTTTCTTATCTAATTTACACACACACTTACACACACACACACACACACACATCTATATATATATATATATATATATATATATGTATATTTTTTATCAACATTCATTTATAACATATTTCATCATATATCCTCTAAAGCAAATGTAAGGGCCTCCATGCTTATATATATATATATATATACATAAATAAAACATCTACTTTTTAACATCTATAAAACATCTATTTATATATACATAAATAAAACATCTACTTTTTAAAAAAACATAAGAAAAAAATTTAAAACATCAATATATATGTAAAATACATTTTGTAATGCACCAACTTTATTCAAATTGCTTGAAAAGACAATGCTTATTAAAAGATAACAATAAAATACTAAGTATTATCCAAATATATTTTTTCAAATAACTTTTTGAGTAAGGTTTAGTTTATTTAGAGATATATTGTTGTATTTAATAATATCATCAAACATCATTTAAGGATAACATGATTTCAATTTATTAATTATTATTAAAATTTTTAAATAATATTTTGTATGAACTTTTTAAAATCAATTTTTTTCTTTTTCAAATCAATTTATTTTTCTTTATTGTAAATTTAAATAACTTGTGATCATCTTATGATAATAAAAAGAAATTTTTAACATAAGATTTTTATAAAATTTAATGAATTTCATTATTAAAATAATTTAATAAATACATATTTTATTTATTCATTTAAAATATACGTTTATTTATTAATATGTAAGAAAATTTATTATTAAAATGATTTAATAAATCCAATTAGCAGTATACTGAAAAAATTAGTTTACTCTTTAATTTTTTTAATTTTTAAAATCTAAGTTAAATTACAAAGTCAAAATTTATTTTTATATTTATTTTAATAATCATATAAATTACTGATTTTATTAAAAAAATTAATGCAATTTTAACTTTGTATGTAAAATCTTAGAAATCAAACTAATTCATAGTTATTTTTCTGAGTTTTACAATATAAAATAACAGTGTTTCAACATTTTTCTTGATATTACCAAAAGTATTATTTTAACAATCTTATTGTTGTGTTGTTTTTTTGTTTGATCTTCTAAATCAATAAATTATTGTATCTTGCTAGACTTGTATATTCCATACATATAGAAAAAATGAAATTTAAGTTAGCACTTCAATGTCAACTATAATTTTTTAATTTTTGTAGTAAATATTTATTATTTAATACTATTAGATGCTAGCTAGTTAGTTAAGTTTAAAAAAATACTAAAGATTTTAACCTAAATTACATAAATTTCTCAGCACAATAATATTTAGATTAATTTTTTATTTTTTTAGAATATATATATATATATATATATATATATATATTTCATAAAATGAGTAGTTATTTTTATTTTTATCATATTAGCTACCATTTTTATTGTAAAGATTTAATTGACATCTTAAAATTATCAATTTTTCTATTGAATTATTAGATTCTTAATTATATAATTTAACAGGTTTTATTTCTTTATAAATAAATGAACTAAGATAATTTTTTTAATCACTTTTATCTAATGTATTTCTTAGTACATTATAACTTTTTTTTTCTAATAATACTTTTATACAATATCATCAAATTTTTTCTAGAATTATATATTATAATATTTTTTATTTTAATTATATCACTTTTAATAAGTTTTAGTTTATTAATATCATAGTATATTTTTAGTTATTTATTTATTTCTTTGATATTAAATAATTTAACATATATAATAAGAATGTAATATTGAAATAACTTTTTTTAAATAAGTCTTTTGAGAAAAAAACTTTATATTTTATTTTTTAATTCAATGCAATTTAAATATAATTTGGCACATTTTAATAAGATACTATAGGAAGTTTTTGTTTAAGATTTTGCTACTCATGCAATGAATTTAAAAATATTTTTATTGTATTTTAATATGTTGTTTTGTTTGTGATAGTTTAGTCAATGATATAGACAACAATAAAAGACGTGCATTAGTTTTTCTAACGAATATTGTTTAAGAAAAATTACTAACTTATTTTTGGATATTTCTTCTGGTTTTTTTTAAGACATGATTATAGTTTATCTTTGTTGTTGTTGTTGTTGTTGTTGTTGTTGTTTTTTTTTTTTTTTTTTTTTTTTTTTAAATTTTTATATTATTTTTTCTAAGATTATTAAGACCATAAATTTTTTATTAGACTTTTTTCAAAATTATTTTATTTATTGATAATTGAGATACAAAAAGTTTCATTATTTTTTTGTAATGGCATATTTACAAAAATCACCAAAAAACACAACATAAAAAGAAAAAATTTCAGTTATCATATTAAATGTTTACTCATGATACTATAGTTTTGGCATTAAAAATGTCTTTATTAAATTAATTTTATTACTTTAAATATTTCAATATTAATAATATGATATATATTAAAATAGCTTGGAAAAATAAGATAAATCGTGACAGGTTAAAACAATCATGTGTTTTTATCTATAACCTTCGACTTTCAATAGATTTCTAAAATATAATATCAGTTATTTGTTTGAGTATGTAATAAGTAACTTTGTAGATAGGGACTATCTACAAAACTGATCCCCAGAATTTAGATTTTGGGTTTCAAACACTACTGTGTATGTGATTCTGTCACGTTATAGCAAAAGGCTCCTACAACTCCAGATCTATAAGAGTCCATTTCAACTTCACTCACCAAACTCCAAACAGTTGAATATAAAATGGAGCACAAATTCAACCATCTTTACTCCATTCAACGTTGGACTGCAATGAATGTCTGAAGTCCACTTTCTAAGTTTGATTTTATAAAAACAGAAATAAAAGTCTCTTAACTTACAACCTCAAGTTCAGGTTTTGAGTATCAACTTAAGACCTCATGAAGAAGAACCCAAAGAGCCTGCACCAAGCAGATTTACAGAACTAAATAGATTACGGCTGACAGAAGTATTAAACATAAAATCTGGAGATGAAGAATCGCAGCCGAAGCAGCTTCGCGTAGGTGCTTCGTGAGTAGACACGTTCTCTATCAGAACGTTGCCAAAGAATCGTCATGAATCTAAACTAGCTGTATTCGTCTGCTGGCAACTGGGCTACGTCGAAGTTGTGAGCATCTCCGGCTCAAGTCCATCGTCTAGATGTGTTGTCGATATCGCACCTAGAAATTACAGGGTGACTTATCCATGCCGTAGGTGGGAATGTTTTCATCTCGTTCGCGGTTCAGGACGTCCTCTCCGGACAAATCTTCGAGAGACCGGCCATTGGTCTCCGGAACCAGGAACGTGCACAAGAAGCCTGCAGCGTTAATGACAGACAACAGCATGAAGGAGTTTTTCAACCCGATCCCGGTCTGATAGCCTTGTTCTTGCTTCCCCTCGACCTGGTTCTGCGCCGCATACATGAAGCCGAACGCACCGATGATGGCTCCTGCTTTACCAGCTGCAGCCGAAATCCCGTGACAAGTTGATCGCAGTCGCGCTGGAAAGAGCTCGGCAGGGATGATGAATGTTGTCACATGTGGGCCGAAGTTAGCGAAGAAGAAAGTGAACGAGTAGAGAGTGAGGAAGGCGGTCCGGTTCCCCCCGCAGTACATGTCTGGATCGTCTGGACAGGGCTCCCCTTTAAAGTGGTAGTATCGGTACGTTAAGATGAACATGAACATTGTCATGAAGAAGAACCCCAACATTTGGATCACCCACCGGCCAATGACGTCCACCAAGGCCACTGTTGCCCAGTAACCTGGAATCGTTGAGACCATGGCAATCAGAGCTTGCGCGCGTGATATTCTGAAGACCTCCTCCAATGCGCTCATCTTCCTTGGAGCAGGAAGCCAGCCAATCGACGAGAAAATGTCCTTCTGGAATAGGTTTTGACTGTGGAAGGCAATGTCCAGCAGAAACCACGAGGTTGTGCATCCCAGAAGCTGAATACCGTGTCTGCGGTTAAACTCACGGGAGAAGAGTCCATAGTCTCGGGGTCTTGATGCTTCCTCAACTGCAGCCGTGAGTTGAAGAGCGTCGGAGAAGTTCATTTGCAGTACTCGGCCCATGTCCATCGCGGCCTGCTTGTTGTTCCGAGCCACAAGCGCAGTGTAACGGGGTGTCTCGGGCATCTTCATACGGTAATAGAATGTGAGGGCTGCGGGAACAGCACCAAGCGCGAGGACGATTCGCCAGACGTAATCAGCTTGGGGTGGGGTTGATGCAACTGCGTCCTCAAGGAAAGAGACGTCTCGCAATGCATTCCGAAAGATGGACGCAACAATTATTGACATAATGTCGCCAAGCAAAATTCCGATGCCTTGCATGGCAAACACGGCTGCAATGAATGCCCCGCGAGTCTTCTGATTCGCGTACTCCGACATGATTGTGGCAGATAGTGAATAATCTCCTCCAATGCCCACCCCAAGCCAGAATCTGGAAAAGCATAGTGAAGTCATCACAGCCTTTGCAGAGTGTCCAAACGACAAGGACGATGATATCGAAGTAAGTATCATGAGCAGTAGCGTCCATCCATACACCTTCTTGCGCCCGAGCTTGTCTCCTAGCCATCCGAAATAAAGGTGCCCAACTAAGGCACCACAAAGCGCCACACCGTTCACGGCACCAGAAACATTTGGAGGAAGCACACCTGGTTTCTTGTCCAGAGGGTTGTGATAGTAAATCCGTCCAAGAAGTCGAGTGAGAGTGGAAATGCAAAACAAATCATAAGCGTTGGTCAGAAATCCCATTCCTGCTATAACGATTGTCTTAAAATGATACCATTGTGTATTGGCTTTGTCAAGAGCAGCGAGGACATCCGATGCCCCTCCCATGGCGTCGACTTCAAGAGTTACCGGTCTCTTCTCCCACTTCGCAACAGCCTTATATGCTCCCAGATCCTACTCAAACCATTGACTCCGTAGTGTCTATGCGGTCCATTGAAGAATTCAAGAACAGATCTGAGATGCGATCCTCGTTAGAAACAGGGCATTGTGCCACAACTTCTAAACCTCCACCAGGTCGGATGCAAGGTTGCGGGCATACAACGTTTCAGATCAGAAGAGAGGGCCATTATGTCAGGTAGAGTGTTACGAGAAGGAACAGTGCAATATTTCTTTTTTCTCTTTTCATAAGTGAATGTTCGTTCATTGAAGTGTATGAAGCCGCGTGACCTGCATCAGAGAAACTAGGGGTCAACTCGATAAGTGGCGATCAGTGCAGATCAGGCGGTGGGCTGTACTTTGCGATGTATTTGTTTCATGTTTGCTAAGAACAATAGTGGGATAGGTGGCGAGCAGAAACAGTTTCCCAGTGGAGTGACAGACTCGCCAATCTTAGACATCAAAAATTAGTTTGTCGAGCACAATTCTGTCTAAATTTAAGTGTCAACTACGATAGCACGATGAAACATTTCCCATCAGCAGCGTCACACAGAAAAGAGGCCGTGACCGTTCAAATACTTTTATATAACTTATTAGCGATCCACACTCGACCCACTTGTGGAGTAAAACCTGCAGTCTGTCCTACACCTGCAGCTGATAAGTTGACTCCACCCATGATCTAGGGTAAGGTTGATGCATAGCGTCGGAATTAAGTTTGCATGCACGGGGTGATACTACACAGTGTTCACTTAGCAGGTCCCGAAACAATCCTTAATAATACTCGACTGTGAATCTCCAAATTCGATCCCAGATCTGTATTGCCTTCGATGCCACCAGGTGATTACGCCTGTTGGCCCAAGAGGGAGAACAGGGTAGCAGCCGGGATTGGGTGCTTACCTCTTGGCGTCACAAAGATCAATTTCATCAGGGATCCACGATGGTCGGCTGCCAAAGCATGGAATTCTCACGGTTCCCAACCAAAGCTACGGAGCGATCAAATTTTCGATTTACCAACTTCAGGAGATGAAGAAAACGATCCACGCGGTGTTATAAGATCTCGAAAGTGCTGCAACTTCACTACCCACATATAGTTAACAGACTGCGAGATGGGAGGGTGAGGTGCCAGTCTTCCAGAGCATGGAAATGCAGTTGTGAAATTCCTCCTAGAACACTGTGGACTCTTGGGTCGAATTCAGGTGGAGACAAAGACATCAGCTCCCGTGTGCGCGGCGTCCGCCCGCCGACTCGCTCCCCTGCAGTCTCCGAAAGTAGAGGCTACTCTGATCGAATTTAGCAACTGGGCAGAGATGGAGGCTTGAAAGCAACTTGGGCCAGAGTGACAATGAGGGATGAGCTATAAAAAGGCCAGATCTCAGTGATCGGAAGATGCAATACCTGTCCTCGTCTCCTCCGCCTTCGCCTCCAATTGCACTGAATCTTCGTTGCTACGAATCTTCGTTGCACCTCCGTCGCATTGTCGTTGAATCTTCATTAGTTGGTGGATGGATGCCCAGCGGTGGTGCTTTGACACGATCGCTCCTTACTAAATAAACCCTAGTCTTTTCTGAACTATATTCCCCGTTGCTTGGAGGTTAGGCTTTTTTTATAAGTGTTCCACATTTGTAGCGCTTCAAATGCGCATGTCAGTTCGACATTCTAAAATTACTTTCTTGCAAGCTATTCCATGTCCTGACTTTCTGACTTTGACATCTTTCAATGTGGCGTGGTTATATTCCTACAGTTGTTGATATTTGGTTGATATGTGGTGAATGCAATCTCCCAACTCCAAAGACCATTGTGGCACCACATGGAGACAAATCCTTTTACCAGTTTTGCTCTTCGTTTATTGCTACCTATATCAATAATGCTGAGTATGTGAATCCTTTAGGCCATATCAATGTAGATAGTTTTGTACCATACTCAGTGAATTACCACGTGAATGTTGGATTTTTTCAATGCAAAGATGCATTGATGTTGTATTATAACATATGAAATATGGATTGTATTGTAAAGAGTCTAGTTGAAAGATGTAGTAGCAAAATATGGATGAAAGGTAGGGAGGTAGTAAAAACTTTTAGTGTTAATGTTATCTTTTTGTAAAAAAGACTTCTATTTATTTTATAAGTCCATAAATGAAGAAAAACAAAGTATATTAATAAAATAACTGTTATGAGCATTTTTAAGAGGGAATTAAGAATAGTTTATAATAAAAATTACTTTAAGATACCAAGAATTGATATCCAAAGAGGTCCAATTGTGAATCAAGGTTGAAATCAAACCTTGAGGCACAAAACTACGCACCTACAACAATTATAGGGATTTTTTGCAAATCAAAGAGTAGTATGTGAAAGCAAATTTTTAGATGGATGCATTAAAATTGGTCTCAAGTGCATTAAGTACATATCAAGATTATGAGAGTTTTTCAAAGTCAAAGAACTATTCAAAGGTTTTGGATTTTAAAAAATAGAATAAGGCTTACATATTTGAAATATTTGTAGATATAATAGCAAATTTTTAAGTGAAATTTTGTGAAATTAATAGTATGCTTGTCTTAAATGTGCTTAATAAATTTGAAGTCAATGAAACAATTAGATTGACAAATATGAGTGTTTTATTGGATTAGGGTCTTAGAAATTGGAAATTTTGGATTAGTGAGGATTTCTATGATTGTTAGAAATTTGTCCATTTAATTCATGCAAAACTTTTAAAAAATATTTTGAACTTAAATATCTATATTATTATTAATTTAGAAATTGGTTGAATAGTTCAATAAAGAGCAATTGTTGTTAAAAGATCAACATCGAGGTTGAAAAAAGAGGACGATTGACATCTAAGAGTATTAAGAGCTTCTTATTCAAATTATTAAGTTTGAATTTCTTCAAAATTTATATGGTTATTGTTTATTTTAGAATTGAAATATCAATGAAATTTTAGTTAAAATCAATAGTTTGATAAATAGCTATTGGAATTTAAAAATAACTATAGAAATTGATTAGAATTTATTTAAGTTTTATTTGAATTTATTTAGAATTTGGTTAGGATTTCATTAGGATTTATTTAGGATTTAATTAGAATTTGTTTAGGATTTGATTAAAGTTTGTTTAGACTTTGTTAAGATTTCATTAAAATTTCATTAGGATTTATTTAGAATTATATTAAGATTTGATTAAGATAATTTAAGATGTTAATCTATAGTATTTTTAAAGATTTTTTAAAAAAAAGTTTAATTCATGAATTTTTTATTTTTTTATAATTTCTTTCTAACTTCTTTTGAATTTTATTAAAGTTTTATTAGAATTATTAAGATTTAATTGAAATTTATTTAGGATTCTATTAGATGTTTTAAGACTTTATTATTATAATTTCTTATTTATCTTTAATAGCTAGGTACTCAGTGCATTTTCAAGCAAGAATTTTTGTAATATGACATTGTGTCCAAGACAAGAATTTAATGAAAGAAAATAAATAAGTGAGATTCTCTCAAAGAAATATGAAAAAATAAAAAATAAAAAGTATGTATTTTAAAAATAAAAATTGGAATGACTATTGCCAAAAGACAAAGAAACTAGAGACTCTTGAAATTAGACTAGAAGTAAGAAAGAAATTAATAAGAGTGAAGAAGGCTTTATTTTTGCCTCTATATATATTATCTACCTAGGATCTATATGGTGATGTTCTAGAGATGAGTTCCACGAGGAGCAGTGATCACATGTTGCGGAAGTCTAAGATGTGGCGAATTGTATTTGGCACATACTCTAATCTTTGTTCTCTTTGAAGGTAGTTGATAAGTCCTCTCAACTATCAATAATATCTAATCTTGAAGCAAAAAGACCACCTTGTTATTTGATCATTTTTGAAACCTTCGTAACTTCCTTCAAACAAAACATTTGTAATACTATTAGGAGTCATTCTTATCTCTAATAAAATCACCAAACATCAAGAGTCTCTCCCTAGGTAGTGATACCAAACACATTGTTGTGATGGAATACGACTAATAGGTAAAAGGGATGAAAAAACTATTATATTATAGAAGATCTTACTTCAAATATTGTAGCAAATTATCTTAAAAAATAAACAATAGTTCAAAAGAAAATAAAATTAAAAGTATAAATGCTACCTTTTTACAAAGTAGGCTTCTATTTACTTTGTAAGGCCATAAATAGGGCAAAAAATGGTAGATTAAAAAAATAAAAAATTTGAGAATATGTAGTAAGAATTTAAGAATTGATTTTAATAAAAATTAATTCAAAAAGATAAATTTTGATATCCAATATTAAGGATATGAATCTCGAAGAAAGAAAATATTCAATATACTCTTATATCACTGAAGAGAACTAGAAAGTCACTCAAAAGATGATATAATATTAAACTAAGATAATTATTGCCAAAAATAAGAAGACTAGAAAATCTTGAAACAAGAATAAAGACTAGAAAGGAGTTGACAAGAATGAAAAAGGCTTAATTCTTGCCTCCATATATATTCTTAACTAGGAACTATGTGGCAATGTCCTATAGGACTTCCAAAATGTATTCACTTTTTATCAGATTTTTAGAAGTGAGGCACAAGCCCAGGCTAGGAGGTCCAAAAAGCCGAACGGTGAAGATGGTTCAGTGGGAGTGTTGGCATCCCTCTTTGTTGTTGCAGCTCTGGCCGGGTCAGAATTTCCTCTTTCTGTTCAAGTGTGGACCTGTTTTCGCCGTTTAACCTGTTGATAGGCTCATCTGCTAAGAAAAAAAGTATGCCGTCTTCATAAGTCATGAGATTTCTGCGAAGAAATTCACACGATTTCTCTTTTACACAGAAGCATTCGCTCCTAATTTATTTATTTATCACAAAAAATGTAAGTTTGCATATGGTCTGTGTATGTTATTTGCGTTCAGACTAGTCCTCACAAGTTCACAATAAACGCAGTATTTTGGTACTCATGTATTTTGTGTGTATTGCTTTCTGTGTGTAGGTGTGCAAATGTTTTGATTACAAATCCTATATGGGTTATTGTCACTCGTATGCAGGTCAGTGTTGATCATTCCTTTTCATAACTTTACTCCAACTCTCTTGCTTGGCTGATTTCAGTTAATTTCCAGTTGCTAGGAGTTCTTTTCACTTGCTCATCTAATTTTGTGAAATGGTTGTGTCATTTGATGGCCACTTGAACTGATTTTCGTCACTGTAATGAATATTATTTCACTTTGCTTGTTTCAGACTCAGAAACGAAAGAAAGGTCCGACATCTTCAACAGAAAACGATCTCACAGTAAAAGTTGATGGTGGACTACCAAGTTCTGCTGTTACAAATCCTAATTTCAGTGGATCTCCTACCAAATCACAGCTTGGAGCTCGCGATACAGTATGCATCTTTAACTCTGACACTGACACTCCATGTGAGTTGGGTACCTCGTCATTGACATGCCTTGTTGCAATATATAGGAATTCGAAGATGTAAGGCAGGTCCTTTCAAAAGAAGCGATTCGAGTGACTAACGTTTCGTGTCTTTGTTTGTAAAATATGATGTTGCCATGTCCATGCTTCGTCCTGCCATGATGTCTTCATTCCTATAGTAGGGTACAATGTCCTGATGATGGTGGAATGGGTTGTTTTTCTGCTTCTATTTACATGCATATCTCTGCAGGTCAAGGATTTGTACAAGGAGGCTGGGTTGCTTGGATTTTGGAAAGGTGTTTTGCCCACTCTCATCATGGTAAGCTCCTCCGTTATTTGCTAGAAAACACAGATGTATGATGTTGTAAAATACAGAATGAGACTGCAGGTTAAGCGTGGTTTTCTGACTTAGGCATACTAATATACTTTAGGGCAGCGGCAGTAATGCTGTACCTTAGTGTGTATTTCTATTCGCTGTATTATGTTTGATTCTTTGATAATGTATTTATAAACTTAAATGTAAAGTGGGCTCTCATTGTATCAGATTAAATTTGTCAGATGATTTTGAGTTCTTTGAATTTTGTCTGCAACAGGTCAGTAACCCGTCAATACAATTCATGATCTATGAGACTTTACTGAAGAAACTTACAGAAAAGCGGCCTAGAAATGAAAATGGTTTGAAACCTTTAGCTGCAACTGAGGTACTGTGCACTTCTATTTTATAGATGCCTGTTCATGGTCTCTTGAATAGATGCTGATGCTTAAAGCGGCTTGATCCTACATTCAGCTGACTAATAATGACCGCAATGTGTGTTAGGTCTTCTTACTTGGAGCGGTTGCGAAGCTTGGGGCAACTGTAGTGACATATCCTCTATCGGTTGTGAAGGTGCGTGTCAATCTAACACCCTAGATTTAGTGGATACCTGTTGAGAGTGATCCATTTCGTCACGATTGCATGATCTCTTTTAACTCTTGAATCTTCTTCGGTTGTCAAATGAGGTTTTTGAAGTTGCTGAAACAGATGATTATTCTTTTGAAGCTCATCCGCGCCAATTGAGCTGCTTGACCGTACAACACAATCACACTTTCCCTCCTTATCCTGACGCTTCGTGTAATATGGCAGTCACGACTCCAAGCAAAGCAGGATGGTGGAGGCCATGCTTCTCTACAGTACGCAGGTGTGGTACTCTTGCATTTGTTGCTAATGTATCTCAGGAAAGAACAGGTCACTTGGGGACTTTTTCTGTACTAGGTTCAGCATGAACTCGTTACAACATCTATTTTTTTCCTTCAATCTTTCACCTCAGAAGTAACTAAAAGCAAATATAATGTGACAAGCACTTCTTATCCGCAATCCCAGCTTTCTGAAGACGTTTTCGTTTTTTTCTTTTAATTCAGGGACATTGGATGCAATCACAAAAATGGTTCGCTTTGAGGGCCTGGCGGGCTTCTACAAGGGCATGAGCACCAAGATTGTACAAAGTGTGGTGGCAGCAGCCATTCTTTTCATGATCAAAGAGGAGCTTGTGAAAGTAGCACGGACCGTAGTGGTCATTAATCAGCCAAATTGTACAAGACTGACAAATTCAAAACTGGATTCTTAACCTATATCCATCAAGTCTAGCTGACTCTTAGATTCGACCTTATTCAGCCTGTCAACCTCTCTCCACCCTCAGACAGAATCCATTGGATAGCGCATTGATTACTGTTAATGCAAATCTTACCAGAGTAGAGTAGATTCATCAAGCAACATATTGTTAGCCGGTCCGTGCATTGCAAGGCTTCAAAGGACACTTGGGCTTTGATTAAACAGCAGAAGCTTTAGAATGTAGGAATTTTTCCCTTCTTGTTTTTCTCATCCAGGTACGTCTTCCTCCAGATCGTGTCCACTTTTCTCCTCACCGACCCAACTGAAGATGTGACGGCAGGTAACGTTTTCAAATTACGTCAGCAAGTCATCACGTTGAATTGGAATTTTTCTTCGAGCACATCGGTCTACACAGGGCTTCCCCCTAAATACCTAATTTAGCTTATTTTAAAGTCATGGCTAGGTTTTAGTTTGGATAAATTAGAAATGGATGAAACTCATCTAGAGTTGTCCAAAAACATCCATTCTAGTCAAATTTGATAGACTTTGTCAAATTGTTTAAAGTGTAAGATATTTTTTGTTGTGCATTATCATTCATTAGAATAAGTTGTAGTTGAAATTGGTTGGGTGGGATGTTCAATCTATGGAGGAAATTGAAAATGATCATTAAGCCATAATGTACACTTATTTTGAGGAGATGATTTTCAAAGATGTCGACAAAAGCTCTAGTTTATGAACAAAATTTTATATTGAATGGACTCATTATAATAGCTAGTTTTTACAACTTCAAAATTAGTTTGATAGATTGGATATTACAAATCATGAATTAGCACTTTTAAAATGTCTTTGTTGTTAGCATCAATTTTGCAATTGCAATGGACAATAATTGATGCAATATTTTCAACAAGTTCAACAAACAAGGCTACTATATTATAAACCATCGCCTCAACCTTGGTTATTAGTGGCAAAGCTATAAGGTTCATTGTGAAGGAGCCATGATATCAAGAATAAGAACTCAAAGAAGATATGTAAATAAGTGAGAAATGAATCAAAGAGAGATGACAAAATAGAAATAAGAAACTAAACATATTTAATAAAAAACTAAAATAGCTATTGCTGAAGACAAGGAAGTTAGAAATGTTTGAAAATACATTGGAAGTATAAAATGAATTGAGAAGAATGAAAAAGGCTTCACTCTTGCCTCTATATATACTATCTATTTAAGAACTATGTAGCGACATTCTATAGAACCTCCAACAAATGTCAAATTTGTAAGATGTGTCTAATTTATAAGACAAGTTTCATATATGTGTGCCTCGTATTTAGCTTATTCTACAAGCTACTATCACATGTAATATATGGCTAATTTATTGGCCAAGTTTCTAACCTATAAATGACTTATAGATATATATAAAGATAAAAATGCATCTATAAAGCTTTTAAAAATCTTCTTTATAAGGTATTATTAACTTAATTTATTTTTATCTACTTCTATTTATTCATATAACCTAGATAATTATTAGAATAAATATATTTATCTCCTTATGTCTCCTTTTGGAGACAAGTTCCACGAAGAGCAATGATCATATGTTAATGAAGTCTAAGATGTGACAAATTATATTTGTTACATACTTTGATCGATGTTCCCTTTAAAGGTAATTGTTAGGTCTTTTCAACCATCAATAATGTCCTTTTCTAAGAAAAAAAGACTACCATGTTATTTGATCATTATTGAAATCTTCACAACTTCTTTCAAATAAAATATTAGTTATACCATCATGAGTTTTTTCTTACATCCAATAAAATCACCAAGCATTAAGAATCTCTTATAAGGTCGTGACACCAAATGCATTGTATCTTGCCATCTATTCGAAAAAGAACATATCATTCTTGAAGATCTTCATCTTGATTACATTATCTTGAAGGTTGAAACAATCACAATGTCTTACTTAGTAAGTCAATAAATGATGGTTCATGAGTTGAATTTATTGGTTTTGGATTCTCAATCTCATTGGCATTGCTAAAATACAAAAAATTCATAGCGAATAATAGAAAATAAGATGCAATCTTCATTAAGAATCTTTTCTTTTATTGCAAAGAATTACTTGATTGTTCATCTTAGTTTTGATGGATCTTATAGATGAAAAGTTTTAACCTTCTTAATTGCATTTATAAGATTCTTTACTAGCTCCCATGTGCATTCACTATTATCATATCTGTGCCAATAAACAAGATATTCTAACCTATTTTGGCATTGCCTTCAATCTAAGTTTTTTTCTACCTTAAATTCTTGATAATTATTCACATTTGTGGGAGGCGATGGCATTTGTCTTTTTTTTTGCAATATTTATTATCTTGTATGACTCAAGAAGTGACATGTGAAATATAAGATAGATCTTCATTGACTCTGATAGCTATAATTGATAAGCAACTAGATTGATTTATTTATAAATAAAAAAAGATCAAAGCCGACAATATTCTAACTTATCATATAGACAAATAGTCTTGATATTGTGACAAAATAACCATACATTATCACCTATGTTGAATTGTAGTTTTTCCTTATAATAGGCATCTACCTTGAATTTTTTTTTGATCTTGAGCTTCTTTTAATTATCTCTTTATTATTGCATGTAGCTTTGATAAATAATTTTTAAAATATTTTATTTTAGGATTATCAACTTTTGAAAAGTCAAAGATATCTAATTATGAATAATAACTATAATTGGTAAAAAAAATTATTTTTTGAGTAGAAGAATATATTGAATTATTATATGTAAATTTTTTCAATAGCAAAAGAATTATTCAATCATCTTAATAATAGTTTATAGTACACCTTAAATATTACTCCAAAACTTAATTCATCTATTTTTTTTTATCTATTAATTTATATATGAAAAGTCAAAGATAATTTTACATCCACTTTCAATATTTTAAAAAGATTTTTTAAAATCTTAATATAAATTGTGTCACTTTATCCAATATAATATTTTTTGCTAATTTATGATAGCAATAGATATTATCAAAAAAAAAGCTTAGCTATTTCTTTATAATTGCTTTTTGTTGATCAAAAGTTGAATGTCTTTCTTTTGGTGCAAGATGAAAACATCTAAAAAGTTTATATGACAAACTTTGTAGTTTTTCAAATAAATTTGTGATCTTAATATCAAATCTTGATAATGACATGCTTCAATAAGCCTAGCAAAAATTCACCATGCATATTGATATGAAGTACTTAAGGTTCTTTTAATTTGTATATCCAATGACTATACTAAAAATACCTTCTAGATAGTGATGCCATTTCTAAAAAGAAAATCTATAATTACAAATAGTTTTTTATTATGGATTTCATAATTGATTTGTGGAACTGAAATTTTTTTAGAATAAAAAGTAAATTCATGAAGTTTGTCATCTATTTCCATTTTTAATAATATTACACTCATGATAAATTTTGATACATCTATTTTCATAAAAAATGCCTCAGAAAAGTTGATGCAATACAAGATTGGTACAAAAATAAATTTCTTCTTTAAAGCATCAAATGATGCTTTACTTTTTTTTATTCCACTCAAGTTTTTTTTACAATTTAAATGTATAAATAGAGCTCTAATTTATAAAAAAAATCTTGATAATGTTTTAATAATAATTGATAAAGCTTAAAAAGTATTATATATTTTTTTACTGTTCTTGAAATCTTTCAATCCATGATAGTTTGAACCTTCTTGAAATCCATCATGAAGCCTTTGTTAGAAATGATGTGTACTAAGAAATCAACTTGAGTAGTGTAGAATACATACTTTTCTATCTTGGCAAATAATTCTATATTTCTAAGTTTTTGTAATACATGACAAACATAAAATTTATAGTCTTCTATATTCTAAGAGTAAATTATAATATCATGTAAATATCATATGATAAAATCATCAAGAAATTTACAAAAAAACATCATTCATAAGATGTTGAAAAGTAGTTGGTGCATCTGTAAGTCTAAATTGCCATTTGGACCAATCTACAAGAAGAGCAGTTGGTGCATCTATAAGCCTTCTAATACGAGACCTAATGTATGGTGTAATAATTGTAAGGGACAACATCATTTTGATATGAAATGTCCATCACCCAGACAAACGGGTGTTCAATGTACATTTTGTGGAAGAAAGTACCCTACCCAAAACTGTTGGCATTTACAAAGGCAACAATAGTTCAATAACCAAACGATACAGCCAACTCAATGGGATGTTAATCAAGTAAAGACTGAAAATATAGGTAGTTGGAATAGTAATCGCTTAAATCGACCTAATCATGGCTTTGGAAATTTTCAAAATACTAATTATAATCCGGTTTATGGAACAAAGATGTAAAACATTGGAAATAATCAAGGGAGTAATCTCCAAACTATACCAATTCAGCAGTTTAATTCTCGACCAATAGCAGCTGGTCAGCCAAGATCATTTACTATGGCTACCTTCAATCGGCCTAGTAGATATATTCCAATGGAGACTCCAAGTGTACCTGATGGTATGGATCAAAAGCCACTTCGTTGCTACTGGTGTCGATAAATTGGTCATTATGCTAGTGAATGCCCTAATCCAAGGTTTACAGACGAATATGCTCAAGTATGTGGAAATTACAAGTAATCGGATCATTTTTATTATCAATATAATATTCCATTTTTAACCCTAATAATCATAATCAGAAGATACAATCGACTATGCAAATTATAGAAGAAAAAAATAATGAAACACATGAATCACTAGTTCATCAGGTAAAAGTAGTTCAAGCTGTCCATATAAGAAGTCAACAAAAGGAGAAAGGACCAATTCAACATTTGGATGATCTTGAAGCGAAGGGCCAATTGGACCCAATTATGGGGCCATCCAATCCAGGTCCTGACATGGACCCCTTTCTCAATATAAGACCTGAATCGATTGTGCATCCCAATGAGGTAGCAATTACAGAGGCTTTGGTTTTGTGTCGAGCTATTTCGTTGTCATGTTGTGGTTCGGCTACTATATGAAAATAATGTAATTATGTACTTAATATATAATTTATTAAGTAACATGGTGAGAGCCATGTTAATAGATTTTAGTTG